AAGCAGCAGTCCTTCTCTATATTTTATGGCTTCTTGTTTTAATAAACTGCTTCTTTACAAAGTTGCACACCTGGTTATGTAACTTATTCACTCACCTCTCAAGAGCCTCAAGGTACTCAGCCTCTTGGGAGACATGAGAAAGTCACTGTCTATTTTGTTCTGGACTCTAGTTCTGTAGAGGGAGAGCAATATTATAATAGCCTTCATCTTTACCCTTCTTAAGTCCTCCAAAGCCATATGAGAGCTCCAAGCCATACACTCAGCACCACCCCCAACAGCTGATTGAAAGGCATCCATTAATACCCAACCCTGCAGTCCTAGGCCCATTGGCTGTGCATACATGCCACTAATTTAGCCGAAGGACCCATGGCCTTCAGTCACAGCCCTCCCTAGTCCTCCAGTCAGGGGCTAAGGAACGGGAGCACCCAGCTTTATATCCAGGCATTGACCATTGTTTCTCAATTTCTCTAATATCCAGAGTCTGAAAAATACCCAGTCTGTGACTTGCTGTGTGCCCTTGCCTTGGGCACTGAATGGTCACTACAGCGTCATTTCTCCCAGGCCCAGATGGCTTTGCTGGCTTAAAGTCCAGAGGCAATAAAAGATTAATAAAGTATAGTATACAAAAAAACAACAAAAACAAACAAAACCAAAAACCTTTCACATGGCAAAAAAATACTGTAAGTAATATCAAAAGACAAATGATTGGAAGAAAAGTATATCAACATATAAATCAACATCCTTCACAGTTCAAGGGTGAATATCCCCACTTTATAAGAACTTTTAAAAATCAAGAAGAAAATACCAGATGTCCTATAGAAAAATGGACACAAGACATGATCAGACAGTTTACCAAAAGAGGTATAAAGAAATGAAAAGATGTTCAACTTCACTCATGATAAGAGAAATGCAGATTATAACTACACTGAGATACCATTTCTCATCAGCTTGACAAAAATTCAAAAGCTTGACAGTACTCTGCTATATGTGAGGCTGTTAGGAAATAGACATTTTACTACATTGTTGGTGGGAATGCAGAATGGTAGAAGCCTTTTAGAGGGGAACTGGCCAATATTTAAACTGTATATACATACATACCTATTGACACAGCAAGCACACTTCTAAGAATCTAAAGAGTC